ATAAAAATAAAATAAATAAAATCAATAAACAATAAACAAAATAAATACGATCAAATTACCAATTATTTCGCCAAAATTACTTGATTTATTAATACCATTGTTTGGAGAAACATTGTCGCTATGAAATGTTTTTGTTACTTTCAGCATTCTCAGATCATATTTTTTTATGATTTCATCTCGGTTGATTAAACGATCGTTTCGTTTTAAAGCATAGGCATGCAAATGCTCCTTTAATGTACGAATTACGTTAACGGTTAATTGACATAAATGATTGTCAAACATAATGTCTTCCTCAATACGATTTGAGTCGAATGAAAGCTCGAGGACGTGTTGTTCGATGTTGTCATATACATTAAGAGTTTCGAGACCTTCATGAGCATCAATCAATAATGATAACGAGCCAATTTCTTCGATACCAACGGAATCATCGTCGGTGTGGGGAATATATGAAATGACCTTTAGAATAAACACCACTAAATTATATGCAATATTCATATCTTGCATCCTGAGATCTGGTGATCTTAAAAGGGTTGGAACCCAGGTAATCATATTACTAATAAATTGCCGATGCTCTTGTTTAGTTAAAATTATTAATGTGCCTATTTCTGTTTCTACTATTTTCTTCAAAATAATCAACGATTGATTTTGAAGCCGGCCATTTTTTCCTCTCCTCACACAATTCAGTAAATTGTCAATAATAGATGAGAGATCATTAATTTCAGGTATAATAGCACCGGAACTTATTTTAGAACAATTGCATATTGAAAATAAAAATTCCATAATAAGGTCGTATACAAAATTCGCGGTAATGGTGGTGTTTATAAAATCCAAAAATAAGGACAATAGCCCACGAGAAATTTCTGGAGATCCTTGTTTATCGATACCATTTAACGTATCATCAGCGGTATCAGCAAGAAAATCGAGTATTAAAGATTTTCCTGATGGATTGGTTGCTAATGAAGTTAAAAGACTCATCCATCGTCCGAATAATGCCAATTTTGTTTCTAATTCAGATGAAGATTCAACAGTATCATCTGTTTGCTCTGTACCTTCTTTCAGCTCATCAATGTTAAGACTGGCTTTTTGATTGTCAATTTTCTCAAGCGTGGATCGGCATTGTATAAGTGATTTGCGAACCTCGTTGACAATTACAGAAATAACACCTCTACCTATGCCTCTGTCGTGAACGTCTAAGTCGATAAGTTGACAAATAACCGCTCTCAGCATAATATGTATAATTTTCGAACTTGCAGGAGCAAGACTTCTAATTAGTTGCATGATATCATCTCGTAATGGGAGCAATTGATCGATCCAATAATTTCTAAAAATCTGTGCCTCCATTTGAACATTGCTAAAATTGGTAGATAAGCTGTATCCATCTATGAAATTAAGATTTTCATCATGCATCGCAACCTCTGAATGATTGTGAGAATCTGTTTGTTGATATTTTTGATTTTTTAGTAAAGGAATCGGCAAAATTTCATTAAGTATATGCAATCCACTTAAAAAATTATCAGGACCTTCAAAAATGAAATTGATCAAATGTTTCACTACATGGCGTCCAGCAAAATCAGAGAAAAACCGTGAACGACATTTGAACTCTCCAATCACATCGTTTGATGCGGAATCTTTTTCTTCAATTATTACTTGAGATAATAATCCAAACATGCCCAAAAGAAGCCCACGAACTCTGAAAATTTGGACTGATTGACCATTTTTGAAAGGTTGATCAAATCCAAGCAATGAAACTGCTCCAAGCTGATCGTTCAAACGCCCATCTAAATGATCTAACGCAGACATAAGCATCAATAAAGGCTCAATGCATATTTGAATCATGGACTTTTTTTGAGATGGTAAAGGGTCATCGGGAAGTTCGTCTCTTCCATAGATATTTTTGAAATGTCTTTTAGAAGCACTATTTTTAGGATCACCGTAAACAACTCGAAGAAGCCTACGTATCAATATTAAATTATGCCATACTAAATCTAGTAATTCTCTCCGATGTTCAAATACTTCTGATGATAGGACAGCGCCTGAAGTTGTAGTAAAAGTTGTGCTTTGTGGGTCGCTCTTATTGTTTTCAGTAGTATTTCCGCTAAATTTTGGATTGTCTTGGCTTTTTATGTGTTCTTGAATGTTTAATGTTTGTTCATCATTAGTCATTGCTGCTGCAGGTTCAGCGGTAGTTTGGTGTTCGGCATAGACAACAAAGTCACTCATATCAGAAAGAATCTCCGCAGAATGATTCAGAAGCCTCAACAAAAATACGAAAAAAGTATCTCCGTTATCAAATCCGCTAAAGTCATCCATTCTAGCCTTCAAAATTTGCAATACACCGCCTTCAGTGTAGGTGTAAGACATAAGAAGTTTTAATGCGACCAATATTTGATTAACAACATGATGATCTCTCAAACATTCTGGATAATACTTCTGATGCTTGATGATATCAATGACTCCTTGAATTGTTCCAGTTTCGTGAAACACAGCTATTGGTTCCCACAAGGAACGTAAGTTGCTTTCTGAGGATGCAACCGAAAATAGTAACTCATGCATTTGATGAGTCAATAAGAACGGAAATGCTTGAGAGAATTTAATCGCCAATTCTAGTAGCTCCAAAGGTATACGGCCAAATGCATTTAACGCATCGCTTGCAGCGGAATTCATAGCAGTGTCTTGAATAGGAGCGACATTCACGAGAGATAAAATGGTCGGAAGAGCATCAAGATATATAATCGTCGATGCCACAGCCTATCAATTTGAAAATATCAACAAGGGTAGTCATCATAATGATCCTAAGGATACTAATAAGCGAATTTGAATAATTTATGCACCTGCTTTCCAACGTTAAAAGTAGTCATTTCAAATAAATCACATAGCAATGCCATTATGATTTGATGATTAACGATATTGTCTAATCCTCTTCGCCCAATTTCCAACAGTCTCTCAACAACCGCAACAGCATGTATTTGGTTAATTAATAGAATGACCAATTGATCGGAGGGAATTATACATTTATCCAAACAGTCTGATTCAGAACCGATGGCTCCGTAACTTTGCATTTTTAGGATTTGTCTTGCCTTTGTCACATTATAATTTTCTTCTTCATTAACTGATGTTTCATCTTCACTGTAATCGTATATATAATCGTAGTCTTCATCGTAATTACCAGAAGTGGATTGTCCGAGACCACACCAAATATCACCGACACCTGGAGTTCGTCTTATTTCATCTACATCTGACCAACTTTCGATGGATATAGGATGAATATTTGCAAACGATTCATCAGTTTCATCTTGTAAATTCAGATCTTGGTTTTGTTGGCACAGAAGACTGGACCATATAGTAATTAAACTGTTGCCAACTTGATCTCGGGACTGCTGCAACTGTCGAGCTAAGTAAAGCATTCCGACAGGTGCACCCAGCAAAATAATGCATAATTTTCCGAGAGAATTTACTAGTTCATGGAATCTTGAACAAGCTCGTATACGTTGAGAGGATAATAAAACAGTAATTGCAGAAAAAAGACGACACGACGTTAGATATCGAAAAGAAAAAGTAGTAGGATAATCTTGATTTATTTCATCACTCGCATTTAGGGCCAGATGATACAGAGCTGCTTTTGATATTATTTGTAGGCAATCAATAACTTGTTCAATTATTAATTCAACATCATCTTGTTCTTGTTCTTGTGGATTCTCGTCCACTAGCATAGAGTTAACATCATGTTGAGTACTATCACTTGTTACTTCATTTTTCTCAATATAACTTTTCCTACGGATTGATTCGTGTCGCAATTCATTGTCCGCCATTTGTTGAATTAGCGTACAGGCCTCGTAAACAGATACCTTCTTCACAATTGCTTGAAGTAAATGCAAGGTCCGCGAAGATAACCTTTTGACTTGGAGCATTGGTAAGATATAAGTTTTGTATAATGTGTCATAACCGCGATTTTTATCACAACACCCAAGAAGGATTTCTACAACTCTTGTTTCTTCCATGCATTCTAATAAACCTCGAAGTACTCTCGTCTGTAGAATAGAAGATACGTGTTGTTCAATTAAAAGCGGAACCACGAGCTTCAGGACGGACTGAACCTGTGAGAAAGTAGAATTAGATTTTTACAAATGATTTGCACAGTTGAAATCATTTCTTTATACTAACCAACGATAGGTTTATGAAATCTTCACCACATTTACATAATTTGCAGAATAAGGCAAGGCCACTTTCAAATAATTTTACAGAAGACTGTCAGATTGCGGCACATTAATTAGAACTGGTAGAATGGATAATCGCCAGCAATCAACATTACGCCTGGCGTGACATCATATTATTATTTTTTTTTTATATCAAAACAAAAATAACCAACGATGGTTCACCTTTCCCTCTGAAATATCGAGAGCGAATATAATAGATTTATATAATATATCCAATTTATCTGCAAGACAAAGATTATCTATTAGCCATAACAGTGAATAAGAACGTTATATTGAAGTAATTTATTTTCTCACCATCGTATCGAACACTTTGAAACCTTGCCCAAAGACAACCTTCTATGATTACATCAGATATTTGATGAAATACTTCCGCCAATAAATTTACAATGCGCTCTAACTCAAATGCATTAGTAGCAACTATTCCCTCGATGTTAGGGTTTAGCAAAGCAGAAATCAATGAATCGACATTTTGAATGCGATCAACAAAGTCATCCCATGCCTTTTTAAATTCGATTTCAGAAAATGTACGAAATGTAGATGACAGAATTGTTTCATCAGGTGATGAATGAAACTATCAAAAAATGATTTGCATTAGCGAGTTAATAAATTCACCCAAATACTAGAAGAATATATATTACCGCAAGTAGATCTTTATCACTTAAATCAAGTCCCACACAATTTGCTAGGGTTTGTGGATTTAAAATTCTGAAAGAATCTGAACGATCTTTTCTTAATAATATTCCTACTCGCTCAACATCGGAGATATCTCTTATTCCGACGTCCAAGTAAAAGGTATCTACATCCATTGGCGTGCTAAATTGATGTTCGATAGATGCTTTCTCATTAACCGATAAAGTTGGTTCTATGAATGGTATAGTCCGTTCTTTTTGAACACCATCCATTGTGATATTGTGACCTATAGATGTCTTATTCAAACTGGCATCATCTATAGTAGTTTCATTCTCTTTATTTACTGCCTTACCGCTACCAGATGCTTCATTATCGAACTTTTCTTTATTGTTATTATTTGCGATCGTTGAAGGAAGTACGGAAATATGCATGCTTTGCTTTTCAAGAGAAATGTCTGTTCCGTTGTTG